CTCTCTCTCTCTCTCTCTTCCTCCCTCCCTCCATTTATTTGATGATCTCCTAGAGTCATTTTTAAATTACATTAATTGATTAATATGTACCACAGCACTCCATGCAGATAAGAGGACTACTGATGAGAACTGGTTCTCTCCACCATTGGGTCCTAGGGATTGAATTTGGGTTACCACGTTTGAAGGCTAGTGCCTTTACCAGATGAGTCAACTCACCGGCATTTCTGGACTCAGTAAAAACAAAAACAAAACAGATGTTACAAATCCAGTTTGCCTTCTCCTGTAGCCACTTGGGCCCAACAAGAAAAGCAGCTTCTCCTTCTAGCAGAGTCTTCAGACTACTAAAGGGACAGGGTGGAAAGGGGAGCAGCTTAACGCCAACCATCCCATAGGGCCCTGAAGAGCATCTCTTTGGTCTATTATCTTTGGTTTAAGAGAAGAAGTTTGGTACAATTGACTACCAGAAATTTGAAATTGAGATGCATCTTGCCGGGCATTGGTGGCACACGCCTTTAATCCCAGCACTCGGGAGGCAGAGGCAGGCGGATCTCTGTGAGTTCGAGACCAGCCTGGACTACCAAGGGAGTTCCAGGACAGCCTCCAAAGCCACAGAGAAACCCTGTCTCGAAAAAAAACAAAAAAACAAAAAAAAAAAAAAAGAAATTGAGATGCATCTTAAGGTCTGTGCCACTGGATATTGAATATCTCCCACAGAAAGGTCTGTTTTGTTAAAGGCTTGACCCTCAAAGTTGCAATACAGTAGTGCTTCCCAAACTGTGGGTCTAGACCCTTGGGGTGTCAAACGACAGAAAGCTGGTTAACAATGAGGGGAAAAAAGCTTTTCCAATAATAGTTTTATTACTATACAATTCACATGGCATACAATTGACCTATTTAAATAGTCTACTAAATAGTTCTTAGTAGATGTGCAGGTCTGCAACCATCACTACAATTTTAGAACTTTTCATTACCCCAAAAGAAATCCTAAACCTTTTACTGATTACTCATTTCTCACTCAGCCTTAGCAGCTGCTGGCCTCTTTTAATCTACTTTTCTCTTTTTATAGATTTGCCTCTTTTGGACATTTCCCACTGATAGAGTCACACAATTCATCTTTTGAGACAGGCATCTTTCATTTAGTGTATTTTTAATGTTCATTTACTTTGTGGAATTTATCAGTACATTCCTCTCATGGAATTTCATAAATATGCTACTTTTTATTTACTTTTCTTTTTTTGAGACAGGGTCTTATTATGTAGCCCTGGCTTGCCTGGAGCTTGCTATGTAAACCAGGCTATCCTAAAACTCAGAGATTTGCCTGTGTCTTCCCCCACTCCCACCCCCCAGTGCTGGGAAAGTGTATACTATCATGCCCAGCATTGTTGGCCTTAATTTCTTTTAATTAAGTATATGTGTGAGGGGAAGTATGTGCATGAATAAGTTGCCCTTGAGGTCAGAAGAGAGTGTCAAAGTCTCCATAACTGGAGGTGCAAGCAGTTGGGAGTTGAGGAGGCTGGGAAATGAACTCGGGTTTTCTGTAAGGGCGTTATGTGCTCTTAACCTCTGAAACATTTCTCCAGCCCCTTTTGTTTTAATTCCAGAGGGTCTCAAGTACCCAGCTAACCTCAAACTTGCTGTGAAGACTGGCCTTGAGTTCCTGATACTCTTGCCTCCCTCCACCTTTCAAGTGCTAGGATTACAGGCATATGCTGCCACACCTGGCCAAGAGACTATGTCATCATGCTTGCTTATACTTTAAAACTAATTTTTTTTCTGTAGAAAGGCTGTATGAACAGATATAAAGAAAATAAAAACCATCCATGATTCTACTATCTAAAGGTAGCTACTATCTAGAGGTAGCCACTATTAACACACGTGTCTTTTCGTTCTGGATATAATCTATGAATATATACTTTGCAAATGGAATTTACTTTATGTGATGCACAGAGGACGATTTGTGGGGGGTTAATTCTCTTTTCTGCTATGTGGGTTCCAGGGATATGATTCACGTCATTAGGTTTGGAAGCAAGTGCATTTACGTGAGCCATCCTGTCAGTTCTGTAGTATATTCTTGTGTGTTCATGTTTGTTTTTGTGATTCTGGGCATAGAATCCTATAAATATCCAAGCTTTTATCTAGGTGTTTATTGTTTTAATGACTCGGTGTTTTTATCCACACTCTAGCGGTTTTGTTATTGAGACAGGATCTCACTATGTAGTCCAAGTTGGCCTCAAACTCACAGAGATCCACCTGCCTCTGCCTCCCGAGTGCTGGGATTAAAGGCGTGCTCCACCACCCAGCTCTAGGTTTTTTTTTTTTTTAATGATTCAGTGTTCTTATCCAAACTTTAGTGGTTTTGTTGTTTGAGACAGGGTCTCACTATGTAGTCCAGGTTGGCCTCAAACTCACAAAGATCTGCCTGCCTTTGCCTCCCGAGTGTTGGTGGCAGACTTTTCCTGGAAAGACATGAACAAATCTCTCTACATCCTAAATAGGGAATCAATGAAAGCCCAAAGCATGTTACCACCAAAGTCCAACTTGGCAACCAATGTTTCATTGGGGTTACTTAGAGGAGCTTAAATAACCCAAAGACAGCTGTCACTAAAGACTCCTGCATGTGCGACAACCTGAAAAGTTAGAAACCTAGGGCACACTATTGTGGAATATTCCTTTGCGCTGTGTGAAGATGTGTCACAGTGGTTGGTGTAATAAGAAGCTAAACAGCCAATAGCTAGGCAGGAGTATAGGTGGGATTCTGGACAGAGAGTCGCCAGTGAGACCGGAGGTACAGAGTAAAGGTAACTGAGCCATGCGAAAGAATATAGATTAAAAGATATAGGTTAAGTTATAAGAGCTAATGGGAGGCAGAGGCAGGTGGATCTCTGTGAGTTCAAGGCCAGTCTAGTCTACAGACTGAGTTCTAGGACAGCTAGGACTATTTCATAGAGAAACCCTGTCTCAAAAGACAAGACAAAACAAACAACAACAAAAAACCCAAAAACAAACAGCAACAACAATAAAGAGAGATAATGGGATAAGCCTAAGCGAAGACCAAGCTTTCATAATTAGTAATAAGTCTCCATGTTATTTTGTGTGAGCTGGCGGCCCAAAGAAAAACCCATCCACAGCACACTGTCATCTGCAGGCAACTCAACAGTTGTAGAGTCCTCTCCAAGTGCCTCAGTTGGTTAGAGCCTCTTCCAGGCAGCTCAACTTCTGTTTCTTCTATGCAGTTCAGCAGGTCTCTCCTTCTTTCAGACTGCTTTGGCTGGTCTGCTTCTGCTGGACTTAACCTCTGCTTCTTCCAGGCAGCTGTGATTAGCTGAAAGTGACTTTCAGAAGTTTTCACTCTTTATACACTCTTGGAGTAGGGAGTATTTACTGAATCTAGTCAGTTTCAGGGACTTCCTGAAACTTTTTGTTTGTTTCTCAAGGCAGTTTCTCTGTGTAGCCCAGGCTGTCCTGGAACTTGCTCTGTAGACCAGGCTGGCCTCAAACTCACAAACATTGAGTGCTGGGATTAAAGGTGTGTGCCACCACTACGCAGCTCTGAAACTCTTTTGAGTTGTTAACTTCCTTGAGGTGTAATGCTCCTGCAGCATTTCATCTCCCTATAGAATATCCTGTTGTTTAACCTCCCTGAAAACATCTTAAGATATTTCCCTCTAAAATGGAAGGTTTTAATCTCAGGAAACTGCTACACAGCATGAAGTGTTGAGACTAAAGGAGTGCACCATCAAATCCAACGAGCTCAAGCATGTGTGTGAGCATGTATGTGAGTATGTATGTGTGTGTTTTAAAGTAAACAAGATAAGCTACAGATCACGTCATTTAAGTTGGACTGCACAATTAAAGGCAATTTATCCTATGGTTAATGTTCTGTTAGCAGAATGATGGTGTCCCCTTCAAAACTCACATTGAAATTCAGTCCCTCATGCAATGCTATTAAGCCATGACTGGAGACTGGCACCCTTACAGAGTTCAGCACTGAAGGAGACAGCACATCCTTCACCTCTGGAGATGTAACAGGAAGTTGGGCACCTGTGGAAGGAGAAAGCAGCCCTCGCCAATATTAGCACAACCACCTTGACATTTCCAGAATCCAGAACCGCGAGAAATAAATTTGTTGTTTACAAATTACTAAGTCACAAGATACTTTGTCATAGCGTCATAAGTGGATTAAGCTTGACCTCATTTTCAAGTTGATGAACACACCCAAACCCCTCGAAGGATCGGCTGATTCCACTCGTTAGAGACTGTGCTGCTGGTCAGGATGTGTTGAGGAAGTTCAGGTGGGGTCAGATGAACTCACAGGGCAAGGTTACTTTGTTTTAAACCGGCCTTTTGCTTTCTGTCACCCCCTCACCCAGTCACCCGGGGCCCAGCGCTGCTGTCTCCGAAGATGCTCAACACGCCCCACCCTGCGTTCTGCGGTTGGTACTATCTTAGGTGGTGGCAGTAGCAGCTGACCTAACCGCGGGGGACGGAGCCCTTAAGGTCTTTCGACTTTTAATTAAGACAAATGCTTTTGCCCTGCATTTTACAGCTGAGAATTTGAACCACAAGAATTAAGCTTGCCTGGAATGATTCAAACAGGAACCCGACTTCCGCCCTCAACTTCCACAGCCAGTAGAGCCGTCACCTGCTGCCCTCCCTTTTCCTGACCTGTCGTCTTCCACGGATTCTCCCAGGTCCTCCTCTTGTCTTTCTCCAACCTGCGCCTCACATTTTCGTTTGTTTCTAGACCATAAATGAAAACCTGCCATTCCTACCACTTAAAACCCCACTCTATCGCTCTTACCAAGTCCAACTTAGCCTTGGCAGGCCTGTCTGGATCCATTCTCACCTCACGGCACCGTCTTTTAACTTCTGAGTTCTAGAATTCACCCATCCACCCGCTTTTCCTTTTAAATGCCTAACTGCAGGATTCTCCGACCAGGCCCTCCTCATAAAGTCTTGGAGAAAAGACCCGGGAGATGGACCACGCTTGTTAAAGGAACTGTTCAAAAGCAGCCATGGTTTAATACCGTAAAGCGATACGGATGGGAACTGTGAAATCTTCCCCGGGGCTTCTTTCAGTTTGGGGGGGGGATTCTCCTGCATTACAGTCGGCCAGTGTCACTAGTATCTTCACCAAGCATCCTTAGTCACTGTGAGGCTCCCAGCTCACTACCGGTCTCGGGTGGAACGCCTGACAGAAAGAACGCAGGACAGGTCGCTAGCCGTCGTCGGCCTACACCAACTTGGTGACCTCTCAAGGTCTCACCCCGGCCGCTGGCAGCTCAGGTTCCGGCCAGGGCCGGCCAGGACCCCGCGCCTGTGACCTGCAGGCGAAGCGGACGCCGGGCGGCCTGGGCACTTGGGGGGGTGGAGGGGGGGACGGAGGCGCCCGAGAAACGCGGCTCGGGGAGCCGAGCACACGTTACTTCGGGCAGAGCCCCTCCGTGCCAAGCGACCGGGAACCCAGGACTGGTCCGCCGCGCCACCCGGCCGGGCCTCCCTCCCGCTCCCCTCAGGAAACAAACAGCCTGCAGTTCCCGCAGCCGCAGCGCGGGCCGCGCGCCGGGAGCGAGCGCAGGCGAGGGGGGTGGCGCGGGCGGGCGCATCGGGGCTGGCGCCGCGCCCCCCCGCGCTCGGCCCTACCGGGCCTGTCGGCGCGGCCTCCCCTGCCCTCCTTCCAGCCGGGTCCGGGGTGGAGGGGCAGCCCCGGACGCCCCCTCGGGGCAGGCTCGGGCGGAGCCGGGCGGCCTGGCGGGAGCAGGCGCCGCGGGCCGCGAGCTCCTCATTCGAACCTCCCTCGCAGACAGTCTCCGCCCCACAATGCACCGGGGCGGGCAGCCTTTGAAAAAGCGGCGCGGCTCGTTCAAGATGGCGGAGCTCGACCAGTTGCCTGACGAGAGTAAGTAGCGTCTCGGAGCAGCCCTCCTTCCCGCCGGCTGCCTGTCCCGAGGTCGCACCGGCCGAGTCCGGCTGCCGGGCAGGTGGGATGGCTGCCAGCCCACCGCAGTCCCCGGTCTCCCTACTCAGGCGCTACCGCCGCGTCGCCGCCTTTGTTATGGTGTCTGTGTGTCTGTTTCTGGGGTTGTGTGAGCGCCAGCGCCGGAAACCGAAAGCCCGGGAGTCCAGCCTGTCCTGACTGGAGTCGGCGGCTGCTCTCCCGGAGCGACCGCGGCCCCCGGCTGAGGTGGGCGAAGAGCGGCCCCCAGTCGCCGGCGCCGTTCCTCACTGCCCGCCCGGTTATGTAACTCGCCGGTCGGGGGCCGGGAGGGCTCGGGCTGGGCACCTCGGACTCAGCCCCTCTTCATGCCCGGGCCTCTGCTCCGATCCTGTGACAGCTCCGGCTCCTGCTGGCACTTGTGATCGCCCCGCCGCTCCCCCGGCCCCCCGTGTCCATCCTGGAAGTGTTTCCTTCCGTGTCACACTGGGTTGGCCCCTTCCCTTGGGACTACAGGTGGCCGTGGACCTTTCCGGAGATGATCCAGCTTGGCTACAGTGTTGAGGTAGCTCCATTCCCAGACTTCCTTCTTAGTGGATGTGTCTTAAGAAGATGGGGTGTCTTTACACGAGGGTGTGAGCTCCGCGGCGTACGTGGATGTCACTCAGCCCGACACCCACTCCTGTGCATTGCCCTACTTAACCTTCTTTACTCACTCACCTGTGCGCGGTCAGGGAAAGCACTGATTCTGCAACCTAGGGTCAAGGCAACAATTCTGTAATTCTCATATTGCACAAACTATAAAAAAACAGACATATTTTAATTGCAAAATGGTCTCGAATCAGCATGTACTATGTGGTGTGTATTTGTAGCACTTGGTCAGAGTATACAACAAAAGATTCTCGGGCGGGCGTGGTGCGTACACCTTTAGTCCCAGCACTCTGGAGGCAGGCAGAGGCAGGTGGATCTCCAAGTTCGAGGCCAGCCTGGTCTACAGAGCAGGTTCCAGGACAGCCAGGGCTACAACAGAGAAACCCTTCTTGGAAAAACGGACAAACCTGAGCAATCTGTGTTTAGAACAACTGTATTGTTTCTATGACATAGGAGTATTTTGTTTTTAACCATTTGGAGGCCCTCAACAGGACGACAGGACACAGAAACCCTGTCTCAAAAAGCCCCATCTCTGTTCGCAGTATCTGTAAAGGAAAAATTCAAGGTATCCTAATTCTGTTTTCTGTGAGGTCACACATTCCTTCATACATTCTTGTCAAAAGCTGAGGTTGCCGAGCTGGTGAAGACTTGTAGTCAAAGTGTTTTGTGTGTTAGCTTTGATTTGGATCAGTGCTAAGTGTCCAAAGAACTTTCTCAGTGATGGTATGTTCACTTTTCTGGCGTCCAGTAGGGTAGCCATTGGTCACATGTGACTGTAGAGCACTCCTGATGTGGCTAGAAGGGCTGAGGTGCTGTTTTGTTTTGTTTCCTTAATCTTGACTTGTATTATATGGTTGGTGATTACTGTATTGTATATACCATCTATGAGTTTTATTGTTATTGTTTGGAGAATTTGGTTGATTGTTGCTTAGGATGCTTGCAAATGTCACCGGCCATCTGAGCGTATTTTTCTAAGCTGGGCACAGTGACACATGTGTTAATCTCACATGCTGAGACAAAAGGATAGGCCCAAGTGGAGGCCAGCCTGGGCTGTGTGCTTTTATCCTGAGATGAGTGTGACTTCTCAGGGGCTGTCTCTCTTGCAGTGTGTTGGTGTGATTTGGTCAGCAGCCCCCAGAGCAGAGTCACTTAAGCGTTTGTCTCATACCTGCTGTTATGGCTAGTTCTGATGGCTTGATTGGACTGAGAAGTGCCAGGAGACTAGTAAAACACACCTCAAGGTGCATCTGTGAGCATACCTTCAGGAGAAGTCTTCTTACTGTTGCTCTTTTTTTTTTTTTTGGTTTTTACGAGACAGGGTTTCTGTGTATTGTTTTGGAGGCTGTCGGTCCAGCCCGGCCTCGAACTCACAGAGACTGTTGCTCTTTGTACAAACTTGAGGTTTATTTTGAGACTCAGGTATCAGCTACACTGTTTAATTAGCTATGTATAACCTAATCGTTTATATTACCACATAATGTCTCTGGTACTGGTACTTTGGTTGCGGGAGGGGTGTGTGGTGTGTGTGTGTGTGTGTGTGTGTGTGTGTGTGTGTGTGTGTTTAGTTAAACTACAGCTTTGTCAAAAGCAGGAATTGTATATTTGATTTGTTACACACTACCACAAACAGACTTAAAAGTCTTGGCTAAAATGGAACTGAATGTGGAATAATATTATTAATTAGAGCATGTTTTTGGGAAATGAAAGTAATTTCAGTTTGATATGAACAACATAGTTTATTTTTTTAGACCCAGTTTAGTTAAGGGAGCTTTGTAGTGTATTAGTTAGTAGCCCCTGTAACATCGATAATAAAAGCTATCATTTCCTGAGTACTTACTGGGACCAGGTGAAAAAAAGAACTCTCTCTCTCTCTCTCTCTCTTCCTCTCTCTCTCTCTCTCTCTCTCTCTCTCTCTCTCTCTCCCTCCCTTCCTCTCCCTCGATCTCTCTCTCTCTCTCTCTCTCTCTCTCTCTCTCTCTCTCTATCTATCTATCTATCTACACACACACATTTACTCATATCTTTTGTTTTTGCTTTCTGCTCATATGATCTTTACTTCAGTTGATGTAAGTACATGATTTTTAGATGTGGGAAAAACCTTTGCTCGAAGCTTCTATTCTTGAGCTCTTGCTATTTCACATCTCTTAGATGTTGCAGAGGGGCCATCAAACTTAAGAGATTCAAAACTTATCTCAGAATTCCTCCCTTGCACATGTGTACTCCAGTAGCTCCTGCCTTGATGACCATCAAACTTAAGAGATTCAAAACTTATCTCAGAATTCCTCCCTTGCACATGTGTACTCCAGTAGCTCCTGTCTTGATGACTGGTTGAGTTTTGTCTTCCTGTGCCTGAGCAGAAACCTAGTTACCTTTGGTGCTTTCTCCTCACTTCCATATTTAAACATTTACTCAGTCTTGGAGCTTTTACCTTCCGTATGACTCAGTTCTTACTTTTTTTTTCCCGAGAGGCTGTCCTAGAACTCACTCAGTAGACCAGGCTGGCCTCGAACTCATAGAGATCCGCCTGCCTCTGCCTCCAGGGACTAAAGGCGTGTGCCACCAACACTCAGCGCAGTTTTTACCGTCACCTAGCCTGGGTTGTCACCATTTCAGTAACCTACTCCTTTCCCACCTGTGAAGGTCAGAGGGATCCTGTCAGAGCAGAAATGTCTTCCTCCTGTTATCTTGTATTTTAATTCGGAGGCAGAGTCTCCATGTATATTATCTCTGGTTGTCCTGACTGAAATTGTAGACCATGCTGATCTTGAGCTTGCGGCATCCTACTTCTCTTCCTGGTCACTAGGATTGCAGGTGTATGCCATCATTCCCAGCCACCCCCTTGTTTAAAACCTTTTAGTGGCTAGTTCTAAGATGCATGTTCATTTGTATGGCTTCTCATGCCGTGTGAGTTGCTGTGTGCCATCATTCCCAGCCATCCCCTTGTTTAAAACCTTTTAGTGGCTAGCTCTAAGACGCATGCTCATTTGTACGGCTTCTCATGCTGTGTGAGTTGCTGGACTGTTTTTCTTCCCTGTGCTGCCGCGCTCCCTTTCCTCTGGTCTTTGCATTTGCTGTTCTCCAGGCTGCTCTCCTCTTCTTTAGAGTACCATGTTGAGAACCTTAAAGTTATTTTTAACTATATGTATATGTGTGTCTGCATGTGGGTATGTGCATGTGTGTGCAATGCCTGTAGATGCCAGGGGCATTGGATGCCCCTGGAGGTGGAGTTAGTTATAAGCGTCTGTGGGCCACCCAACATGGTTGCTAGGAACCAAACTCCAGTCCTCTGGAAGAGGAGAAAGTGTTTTAACTGCTGAACCACCGTCTCTCCAGCCTCCAGTTTAAGATTTTTTTGGGTTTTTTTTTTTTTTTTTTTTTTTGGTTTTTCGAGACAGGGTTTCTCTGTGGCTTTGGAGGCTGTCCTGGAACTCGCTCTGTAGACCAGGCTGGTCTCGAACTCACAAAGATCCACGTGCCTCTGCCTCCCGAGTGCTGGGATTAAAGGCGTGCACCACCAACGCCCGGCTCCAGTTTAAGATTTTGAGGTTGGCCGGGCGTTGGTGGCGCACGCCTTTAATCCCAGCACTCGGGAGGCAGAGGCAGGCGGATCTCTGTGAGTTCGAGGCCAGGCTGGACCGACAGCCTCCAAAACAGAGAAACCCTGTCTCATAAAACCAAAAAAAAAAAAAAAAAAAAGATTTTGAGGTTGTTTTTGGTCCTCTGTGGCAAGTATGTCTTCTTGAAGTGTTTCCATTCCACTGTATGGCTTCTCGGGGGGCTGTCTCACTTGTAGTCACATAGTTGTTAGTGTGATTTTTGGTCAGCAGCCCACCAGAGCAGAGCTACTTACTGCTTTTTCTCATGCCTGGTGTGGTGGTGAATTCTGATAGCTTGATTGGATTGAGAAATACGTAGATCAGTGCAGCACACCTGTGTACCGTGAGCGTACCTTCAAAACAAGGCTCTGACCTTATAAACGGATTTGTCCCTGGTGGGTTCATGTGATAGCATTATTGGAGGTGGGGAAAGGTAGGTGGGGCCCAGTTGGGGAAAGTAGGTCAGGGGGCTCTGTCCGTGGTCATTACGTGTTGTTACCTTGGCATCTTCCTGTCTTCCTTTCTCTCTTTTGTCCTGGCCATCAC